TCTCTCTCCCCTCTCTCTCTCTTTCTCTCCGCCTACAATGTTGCCCTTAGGCTCCATCATGGGATTGCCTAGCCTTCAGTTCTCCTCACCCCCCGATCGGTAAAGTTATCATCGAAGAATCCGCTGCAGCTCCAGGGTCCGCGAGGCACCCGCGCCAGCTGGAGACTTCAGCACAGCAGCCCCAGCCTCCGCAGTCGAGTAGCGCCGCACCGCCACACTGCGTTTGGAGAGTAATGTAGCTGCGCTCATCGAGTATCCGCTTACACAAATGCTGGCATTCTTTTCAGAGACTACTTTCACATGCATATCCTGACTGATTTATCTATCTTTTTTTTTTTTGCATTTGATTTCCGACGATGTTCTTGTCAGTACCTCAGGTAGAAGATTAACACTGCGCGCATTTCCTTGGCGTTGCTGGCCACTGAGCTATACACCTCTGTTAGTACAGACCTTCCAAAAGTGCGCTGGGGTTGATCAGAGCAGAGACCTAGGCGGACATACTCGCTGTGGCGCCTTCTAGCCAAGCGTAAATGCGGTACATAGAGCAGGAGAAAATAAAAGTACGGGGTCTACGGAGCACACTGTACCTGTACGTTTTAAATTGTCGGGTAGAAACGGCAACAGCGGCAGGGACAGCAGGAGGGTCGGCGCTGACGGTGAGGACTGAGAAACATGGCCGACGAAACGTCGGGCCTGCCTGGGCCTTGTTCGATCCCCCCTTCACCTTCTATCCCCCTTCCCCCATTTTTGCTCTTTTTCTTCCGCGACAGTTGGCACTCACTACAGTATATACGGGAATCCGGCCCGTCGCTGACGTATGTACTGACCGAGCCCTCTCGCCCCCTCCACCCCCTAACCGGCCCGTCTGGTATTACTCTTCCTCCCCTCTCAACGCTCACTTTCCGCCAGACCAGCGCGTTATTCACCTTGTTCCTCTTGCTCTCCACGCACGGTCCTCTATGGACTCCTCCTCTTCTCCCTCATCTCTCTCTCTCACTCTCTCTGTCTCTCTCTCTCTACCCTCTTCCTACGTCTCTTCCTCCCCCACACTCCCCCCTTCTCCTTCTACCTCCTTACATTTTTCTTGACGCTTCCCCCGGTCTCTCACAGCGGCGGTGCTGCTGTTGCATTTTTACTAAATGTGTCACGGTGTGCAGTGCACGGTCTCGTAGCACCTCGCCGAACGGACTTGAACAAGGTCGAATTTGGGCAGGGGAATTATATAGACTTAAAGGAGAAGGGGATCGGCAGGCAGGGCCCAGGGGCCGCGACTGTTTTACCGTCTGACCCCTCGCACGCTCTCTCTCCATCCCCTTCTCTCTCTTTCTCTCTCTCCAATCCTTCTCCCCACTCGCTCGCTCCTCCCCTCTCCTCCCTCGCTCGCTCTCTCCCGCAAGTCGCTCGCTTTATCGCCCACACCGCCCTATGAATCTCAAGCAGCCGATGCTCCTGGGATGGCGACTTGTTCCAGCCAGTGGGGCGTGGCGTGGCGGGGCGGGCTGCGGTAGGGCATACGCATCCAGCGGCCAGATTCCACCAACGTAGGAGGGAAGACTGAGTAAATTTGGTGGAATAGGAAGGGGGATGCAGTGATTTCTTTTTTGTTTCCGCTGCAAGAAAAACAAACGAAACGACGCCCCTGACTTACCTGGCACTTGCCGTTGATGCACATGTCCAGGCTGCCCGGCCGACACCGGGTGCCGTCCTGCGACTTGGGAGCCAGCACCTCGACGACGGGGCCCGAGCCGACGTCCACATGGTCCTCGTCGTCGTCGTCCTCGTTCACGACGGCGTCGTCTTCGTCCTCGTCCTCCTCGACGTCGTCGCCACCCTCGTCGTCGTCGCCCTTGTGCTGGCCACGCCGCCGCCGGCCCTCCCCGCGTCCGCGCCGCCGCCGGCCCTGCCGCCTCCGGGGCGTCTCCAGCGGCACGCCGTGGCCGCGGCCCTCCGGCACGGGCTCGCCCCTGCACACGAGCGCGCACGGCCGGTCCTCGTCGTGGTACGGCGTCCAGCGGTAGAAGCGGCCGTGGCGCGGCTCGCGGTTCCACGCCTCACACTGCTGCGCGCGGAAGTCCACCGCGTCCATGCAGGGCTGCAACACATTCAACGAATCGGTGTTGTCAACTAAAAGAACTATAATACGCGCCCAACAAAATCCATTTGTTCTCTTCAATCAGAAAGAAAGTGATTCAAGCGCTAGAGAGCGCTACAAGGGAGAAAGCGCGAAACACACAGCACCGCGCTTATCCACACTGGTGCTCCTGTACAGCCTTTCTTTGTTTTCTTTTATTTTTGTTCTTACTCTTTAATGTGTGGACCACGAAAAACAGACAAAGCCAATGGGTCCGCGGGGGGCTCATCCCAATGGCACATCGCTTTATCGTTGAACGGTTCGAATTTATCGCGGGGAGTCGTAGTCGAGATATCGCCCGAGCACCTCACCCCATGCGCGGTTATGCATGTAAATTAATTTGCGCCTTCCCCGAGGAAGCATGACTTACCT